CTGAAGATGAACAGGACTCAATGATGACATCTACCTTCTCATTTGTAAGCTGTGCATTCTGAGTGTTTTATCTTACTGCTTTATGTATCAGCGGCATTTAACTTTTATTTTTTGTAATAAATAATCAGCATTGTCGAGCAGTTTGTGCAGCTGTAGATTAGCACACTTGATTTCTCGCCAGTGTTAAATGGTTGTTTGCAAAACCATGCTTTTAAAGCAGTTTCCCAAGCACTCCTTAAGCAAGAAGCATCCCTTCAGAAGAAAGTATCTCTCTCTTTCTTCCTTTTTTTGCACCTAAATGTTCTTCAAAGACCACCTACTTACTTAATATCTCATGGTACTCAGGAAGTTTTTGCCTTCTAATATCTTGAGGAATGTATTTATCAGGGAACCCTCAGCTTCATAAGAGGAAACTCTAGAAACATTCGTCTCTACTTCTACTGTTTGCATGTTTATGCTTCCAACCTCCGCTGGCCTGCATGAAAACAGCCCCTTTCTCATTTTCTGTAAAACCAAAACCACAAATTTACCCCCCAAAAGTAAACATTAGCGATATTGTATACAGTTAAAGGGGATTTGGAAAGCCCTGCAGAATGCACGCCAACTGAACCGTGCAGATAGGGGAGAATGGCATTGATTTCCACTAAAGCATGACAAACCCTCAAGAAAAGGCGTTTGGTAGTGCAGTGTGTGAATTAGACCCAATAATTAGCCAAGTGCTGGTACTCTGCGCTTGATGGTTCAGCGGCACTCTAAAGATGGAAAACATGAAGCTACTACTGAAGCTACTAAAGCTTTTGCCATAATGGATGTTTTCTTTTCTGAAGTACACAGGCAGATTCTAATCGGATTCCTGCACAGATTCCTTGGATCCACCTCTCTATTTCAGCGTGAAATTTGTTGCCTATGTGTGCGTGAGATTTAACCCATAATAAAGAGGAAAGGGTTGTGAGGAATCATGTGGATTGTGTTTTATTTTTGGAAAGTGTGTTCCACATCCTTACCTACTATACAATCAGTTTTTTGAATCTGAGGGACTAAAAAAACAAACCAAAAACAACTGCTCAAACATTGTTGTCCTCTGAACATATTGTCACACAGGGCCACCATGGGCCCTTAGTAAACACACACTTGAGAACAATTGGGTATATCCCTTATAATATGGTGAAAAGCATGCTAAGCAAGATTTCAATTATGTAGTCACAAAAACAGAAAGATGAAAACAATAAAGAAAATAACACCTGGAAGAAAAATGAGGAATGAAATTAGAATACAATCAGACAAGCAAGTTTAAGCTCTATATTAAGCCTGCTGATCTATTCCTGTTTGCGCAAGGCTACACATTCGTGCAGCGCATGGCGAGAGAATTCCTGCAAACGTTCGCGATGACTAGGCGCGATAAAGTTTATCAGCTGCAGTGAGATCAGTAGGGGACCACCAGGAAAGATTGCTGCCGCATGTTCAGACACAGAGCCCTCATCCGGGGACGGAAACGGAAGAAATGGGACTAACTGGGCACGCAATGATGCTGAGGTGTCCTCCTCAAACTGCAGAAAAACACAACTTAAAAAACATGTTTTGAAAGAGCAAGTGTTTGTGGCAAAGCAAGTTTATCAGCGTTAGTTCATCATTACTATTACAGCAGTGGGGGAAGCAGCTGCTTTACTTTATTGAAAGCAGTAATGCCACACCATAAAAAATCTTTAGTAAAACTCCTGCATTTAAATAGCTCGACAGTTGAAAAGCCTGCATCTGTGATGGTGTGAGATTGCCTCATTAATGCAGAATAATCTATA